TATATATATATATATTCAATAGAAAGGTAGTGTTTTACTCTATCAAATGGTGTATTATATTACATTGTTTTCTGTACAGAGAATTTCCAATTTCACTTTCAATTCAAGCATTGTTCCCATAGGAAACACATCAATGTGCTTAGATGAATTTTTAAAGGCTCTTGTCACATATTTGGAAAACCAGAAAAATTGTGATAATTATGGGACATTGTTTGCTTTGTGCATGTGATTATTCTGTGTTAGTTAGTGCAGTACCATCATTAGTATAAAAAAGAAGGGTTAAGTGTCATTGACAGTCAACAGCAAAAAAAAATAAGACCCAGATAAGTACCTTATTTCTTGTTTTTAATCTGTAATCTTTATTTATTATTATAAAAGTAACTAAAATGGGAAATTTTTTAGGCTAGTTAAGGTTAGATGAGTTTGTTGAGCTATACTCACTGCAGCAAAACTTTAGATACTTATCTTGATATGTATATTTGACATTTTGAAATTAAATCTAATGATTAATGACAATGGTCCATATTTTAGGGATTACTTGCATTGGAAGGGGAACTTACACCTATCTTGGTTCAGATGGTGAAGAGTGCAAATACCAATGGGTTACTTGACAATGATTGTGACTCCAGCAAATACCAGATCATGTAGGTTTTATTTTTACCTTGCATTGGTTTCTCAAAGTATTGGTACAAAATTATTTTAGTATATATATTTTTTATGTTTACTGATTTCTACTCAGTATGAAATACTGGATGTTAATAAACATGATTTGGAAATGATACAAGATATTTAGTGATATTATGTTAACTAGTAAGTTAACCCTAATGTATGAAAATACACTATAAATTGATTAATTTATCTAAAATTTTGTATATTTAACAATAAGACAGAAAAACTTTGCTCTTTCCCAAAATTTCAACCTGTCTTTTTCAATGATTTTTGAGCATCACAGGTTACAAAACTGATTTAAAATAATATTAACTGAAAAGTGGTCTTACATTCTTTTCTGTTACTATGTGATCCTTGAAAAATGCATAAGCTGAAACATTGGGTAAGATAAAAAAAATTTTGCATACGATTTTTTTAAAAATACGGTTTGCAGTCAACAGTGAAAACTTTCAAAACTAATAAACTTTGATTTTTTTTTCCTGCCAAAAAAATAGCTAAGAAACCTCCAATATATTAGGTTTTTTTATCTAAAGAACAAAAACAGGAAAACCATGAAAAACAAGAAATAAGAGGCATAGTAAAATCAGTTCTAGAGTTTAGAACAACATGACTTCCTTCCTCTGGACTGTTTGCAACTGTATATTGCGTTTATATGTTGATTTGTTGTTGAATGTTTGGTTAAGATGTATTTTTAATTTTTTTTTGTGTGTCTTATTTCCACACACACGAAAGATTTTTTTCATAAACCAGTTTTTTTGTTTTATGCAATTCTGGCTAGATGCAGTGTTTGTTTAAAAATAGAAAACCCTACTATTTTTTTTACAAAGAGATTAAATTTTAGGTTCAGTTTTACCAAAGATTTTCCTCAAAGATTAACAGGAATAAAATATTGAAGAATGTTTGACCATGAAACAGCACAATACAATTCAATCAAGACTGCTAGAAATCATCATTAATTTCACTATTGTAAAACTTGCTGATAAAGAATGTTTAATTAAAACTTTTTGACTTTGTTAACATCACTTTTATTATCTATTAATAGATCATGCCTCACAGTTTTAGGCAGCCCACACCATAAGAAATGGAATCTCATTGATATAATTAGTGTTTTGTGGTATAACCCTGCATCCCATTAACTGGTGGCTGAAATTAGCATTTGTTGTTTAGTTTTTAAGAATACATATTTCAAATTAACAGGCTGTACACTGTAACAGCCTTAATATGTTAGCTTTAATTTTCAATAATTGTTAGTAAACCAGTTAAACTAAAACTATCACTATTGACTAACATGCCAACTCAGATTTTGTTCGGATTCCTGTTTGAAGTAATAAGATTATTTTAAATTTTTTCAGTTCTTTCTAAAAAAATTTATAAGCTTATTCACCAGAAAAATACTGAACAGTTTGATATCTTTCATTACAAAATTTTGTATTACATGCACATGATGCACTAAATGCCATCAAATATAAGACATTGTGTAAGAAGATTTTTGTAACATATTTGAAGTACTTACTTGAAGTGTGAGTATATCTCACATAATCTTAATGTAACATAAATATACAAACAAAAATGGCACTTTGAACAATGGTTTAAAGAAATTCAGGCATTAAAGATGTATAGGATTATTTTCTTTCTGTATTGTGAGTTTATAGATTTATAACACTAAAATCTAGGATGTAATTTCCCTTAGCGTACTGAGTAATAGTCCACTGTGTGGTTTAACAGCTATGTATAAAAAAACAAAAAACTTTGTATGTAGCATTGGATCAAGGTTGGTCAATAAGACCTGTCCAGCATTAATAGAACTACCCATAGAAAAAAATAGAGCAGTTATAGTAATACAAGTGACGTGTCTGTATGTGTGATTTTATATATTGTTTTGTAGATAGATATTATTCTAAGTATTCATGATGATCAGGTTTAGTTATGTTAGCTGTTGTTGTGATAATTATTTAATTCTGAAAGTTATTGTTTCATAAAGTGTTTATTTTGATCAAGTATTGTTAAACTCAGAATACATGTATTATTATTATTATAATGCACAATAAGACCACCTTTCAAAACAATTCAAAGCATTTTGGGTACTATTTACTCATAATAATGATGTTTTAATGAACTGATTGGTCATAGATGGGAGCTATCTCAATAAGTTCACTTCAAATAAGCATAGGGGTTTTCCATCTTATCATTTGAGGCTATTGATGATATATAGGGTAGTGAAAACAAATAGTCTTTTTTCCTAAAAATATTTAAAAAACATTATACATAAAGTTTGGATTTTTTTACCTCAAGGACTACCATTATTCAGCCTTTTTTATTATCTTAATTCAACGTTTTTGGTTTGAGTTACCTTATACTTTGGATTTATAATGAATGAGATCCTGTGTGCAAGTTAGTATAAATCCACAATTCAAATATGTTTATAAATTTTTAGTTATAATCTGATTCAGTAAAAATAGTTGATTTCATGTTTTATTGTATTTGTACATGTATATTTTTAAACTTATTTTGAAAAGGGTGAAACAGAGGTTACATGAAGCATTGCAAATGGATGATGAATTCACGGAAGAAGACTATGAGCGGGTATGTCATTTAACCTGTGGCTGTACTCACTTGGTTTTTTGTAGGAAGGATTTGTTTTTCTTTTTTATTTAATTTAACTTAATTTTGTTCAGTTGTGACAACCTTACATGTGATATTTAACAAGTCCATTGTATTTTTTAAATGTTTTCTTCAATAAATAAATACTATTACTGTAAAATAATTTAACTTGGAGCTATTGCAAATTCAATTGGTGATTAGTATAATGTATGCTTAATATAATAAGTTAATAATTTTGTATTGTATACTTATAATACTGAATGTGATTCTGAGGGAATGCAAAGATAACCAATGGTTTTTAAACAGCATGAATAACATACATATTGTGAGTTTAATTACTGTGCTTTATTTTCATACATTACTATATATCAAGAATTGGATAGTAAGTTATATAACTGAATATACTAAAACTGTTCCAAGTTTCACTCTCTCAAAAAGGTTTAATAACTTTTGTGTTATACTTTTATTTCAGTAAGTAAATAAAAAGGGCCTACCTGAAGGAATAATTCTTTGTTATAGAAGACAAATTATCCATGTAATATATTTGTTGTATAACATTTAAGGAAATGAATGTGCCTAGCTGATAGTATAAAGGAAGAATTGTTTTCCAAAGTAATGTGAAATCTAAATATTGAAATGAATGAAATATCGTCCATGATCTTGGGTTTCCAGAAAAACCCTTGTATTTAAGTTCTTCATACATATATATATATTAATAATACTTTACTATTTACAAACAAATAGCTTTAATCCATAAGTGAACATACATTGTAATACTGTCATACATGATTGTAGTCACAGTATCTGTTGTGATAAAAAGATAATTTTAGATGTGTTTTTATCATCAGTAATACAAAGATGAATAAAGTTTGTTACCACTTTCCTGCAAAAAAAAAACTAAGTTCTGTAAAAAATAGCTGATTCACATATCTAAGGGTGTTCTAACATTGGTCAGGCACTTTTAAATTATTTACTGAAAATAAGGGCAAGTCTAGCCCATTTAATGATAACAAATTAGTTTATTTTTTCTCTACAGACTCCTAATACTTGTACACTGTTTCAGGCCCTAGTTCACAAATACCATTTTCAGTTTTATATTCAATAGAAATGTACTCACTAACTGTACTATGACTAATGTACAAATAAACATACATGTACGATTTCACAACATTGATCAAGTAACTGAATATATGCAATAACTAACACTGATCCAAGTAGTTCACTGAATAAGTAGCACTCTACTAACTGAAAAATGACTGAGTGCTTCACTGATTCTCATATTTTTAATGTAGCCTAATTTCTAGAAACTGCAAATCTCTCACTCACTAATATTCCAATGTGCCCTCTAACTAACATCTAAGTTAAAGCATTGAACATATTGCTTATATTCAGCTAAACCTACAGTATTTCTAAAACTCAGACTTGAATATCTGTCCTGATATTTAGCTTTGTGTAGCAGTTACCTATTTCATCATTAGTTGTAGGCTCAAAAAAAGACATTTTTTAAAACTATTACATGTTGAAATACTGGTGTTTAATACTTCCAACTTTAAACTAAACACTAGAATCAGATAAAACATTTATTTTTCCCATTTATAATTTTTGAATTGTCGTCTATAATGGAAAAACCATGGCTAAAGACTTGTTTTTTTCAGGTGCAGTTCTGCCACTTGCAATTTAATTATAGCATCTGACTGTAAAAAAAAATATCTTTGTTATATTAAAGCTGAACCCAACCCATGCAAGGTCCATTCAGAATGCCATGCAGTTTATCAAGAATCCTGTGCAAGCTTGTCAGCATGTTCATGACTTGATCCAGAAGTTTAATGTTCTCATAAAACAGAAGAGAGAAGATCCTTGTCAGCCTGGTAAGTTTTAACTTTTAGGAAAGTTTGGAAAAAGAAGTCTTGAATGAAGTTAATCAGAAAACATGCTGACATGTTTATATGGAGAAGCTTCTAAATTCATGAAAAACAAAATTGAAATAATTCCATCAGTTTTGATATCATCTTTCACTTCTGCACTCTCCTATGAACCTACCCTAGTTTCCTCATAGCTCATTTTTTTATTTCATCATTCCACAACACCCTGTTTTATTTGTTCCTCCAATTTTTGTGATCCCCATCCAAAGTTGGCCATGTTCACAGTCATGCATAAAATGTTAGGCTTTTTGTCTGAATCTTTTACATGAAGTACCTCTTCTTGTAACCATCTTTGAATTGTTCTTTTACTGATTCTATCTCTATACATATTGTTTGTATTTGTATTTATTTCTTGGGGTGTTTGGAATGAAGTTTATATTGAAATTCTTTGAATGACATTATCTTTCCTCTAATTTGGTTTTAATCTCTGTGTTCTTTGGTCTGCACCCTTCAAAATGCTAGGTTTTTGAGCAATGTGCAGTTGAATTTTATTTTAATTATGTAAAACAATAATTTGTATTTCTTTCCTGCTTAAATTAATTTTCTTAGTTTTAGCCATGTTGATTCTTGCAAGTTCTTTTTATCATTGGGACATGTTATTCAATTCAGTTTACTTATTGAGATGGATGCTGGTAATTTAAAACAGGCATGAAGAAGAAATTTTCATTATATAACACGTGTCAGTGGATCAAGCCCATTCATTCTGCATTTAATAATACTCATTAGTTGTTCTTCAGTTATGTTGTAATGCTATTTGTGAAGTGAATAATTGGTTTTATTGTAATTATAAAACAGTAGTTTATACAATACATTGGGACAAAAAATTAGACTATTAATACCTTCCAGCATTTGTACCCAATCTTGAAAGGTTTTTATAGAAAAATTTGTCCATTTTATTCTTGAGTCCTGAAAATAAATTTAGTTATTATATAGTTTTAAAAACAAATACAACAGTTGTTAGGGAGTTGGTGTAATTGGCATTGCAAGTTTGTTTGTTTTTTTACCTGTTAGAACCTCCTCTTTATCATGGTGAAACTTGGGATTTAATGCAGCGAAGATGGGCCAAATTGGAGAAAGATTTTAAACTAAAGAATGGAAAGTTTGACATCAGTAAGGTGCCAGACATCTATGACTGTATAAAATATGATTTACAGCACAATCAGTACACACTACAGTTCCCTCATGCTGAAGAGCTTTACATCTATGCCAAGGCCTTAGCAGATATTGTTATTCCACTGGTAAGTATGCAACAGACTCTCTTTTTAGGACTTTAAGGTTAAATGCATGTTATCTCCTTTACTTTTCTCTTACATGTGTATTCTGTCTTTTTATTATCAGTAAAAACACATGCTTCAGCATTGTTTTCAGTCTCAGAGAGAGATTAAAGACATTAACTTGAGCAGCTGATTCCACTTATATATAATTCTTCTGTAACGTTGAGTTTGACTAATCTCAAACTTAATATTAATTTTCATAAAACATATAGGTTTAAAAAATTGCTAGTTTTTGTATATTTACAGGGGTAGGATAAGACCTACTGATTGAGTATACAATTTATAACAAGCTTTTCTATTCTTAAAAAATCATAAACACAGTTTAAGTTTTAACATTTTATAAATGAACTAGTTGATCTGTAGTGAATTTTTGACTAATTAACATTTAAAATTGAATTAAAATATTGAGTGGAGAGAGGGAGTCTGTATAATTTTATTTAACTTTTACAAAGATAGTATGATGAAATGCCACTCCAAGTGTAACATTGCAACTCTACATTCAAAATTTAATTTAAGAATATCATTTTATGTGTAGAAATAATATTATAACATTAGATAATGGTTATATAGTTAACTTTACCAACATAAATGCAAAAGAATGCATAGGCCCGGCATGGCCAGATAGTTAGGGAGCTCGACTCACAACCTGCGGGTTGCAGGTTTGAATCCCCGTCCCACCAAACATGCTCACCCTTTCAGCCATGGGGGCATTATAATGTGAGGGTCAATCCCACTATTCGTTGGTAAAAGAGTAGCCCAAGAGTTGGCGGTGGGTGATGATGACTAGCTTCCGTCCCTCTAGTCTTACACTGCTAAATTACGGACAGCTAGCACAGATAGCCCTCGTGTAGCTTTGCATGAAATTAGAAAAACAAACAAACAAAAGAATGCCTAAATTTTCATCTTTTTTTTTTTTTTAGTGGTTATAGACACCTGAACTACGTATGTTGTGCTTCCAAACCACCATCTTTGAAAACTGTTGTAATGGAGAGGTGTTAAGTTTCAAAATGATGTAAACAACTTTCCATTCATTCCTTATTACATTGTTTACCTTTATAACTTTTAACAAAGCATTTTAGTAATTTTGCACTGGAAAGTTGAATATGCTGTGTGTAGAAATAGTTTCCAACTAGTTAGAACCTGGTTATTTAATTGTATGTTTTGTAGAAGCAAGGAAACATTGTGTTATAGATTGTTTCATTTCTTTTAATACATAGTATTTATTCATGCTGACACAACAACACTTGGATCATCACCAGTGCCTGTTGTTAAAGTGGAGATTTAAGCTCTGATTTATATGCTTATTAATGTTAAGTTGGAAATGTATGAAAAGCAAAGAAAAATTATATGTAGCTCAGAGCAATATTTTTGTAATGCTCTAAACCTTGGTAGAATTGTTTGTACTATCTAGTAGAAGTTGAGCTCCTGTAATAAGTAATGTCTTCAGTAAAATCCCAGATTCAGTGTTTTCTTTCAAGAATTACCCAACAATTCTTTAACATTTTTTACTTATGATGTCTTTTTGGTTGATGTTTCTCATGTCTTATTTGTTGATAGTATTAATACTACTTTTTGCACAAAGTGAACCAGGTACTGAATATACTCGTGCATAAATTTAACATTAATAGCTTAACAAACATTCCTAACTCATAGTAAAGAGTGCTTTCAATGGGAGCTGCAATGTCATCAGGAATATAGAAGATGCATTTTTTTACACGCATCTCCAGATTACCAATATCTGTTGATGTGTCCAAATCTGGTTGTATGAATACCATTAACCAATATTATTATTATTATAAACTTACTACAGGAATGTGGTAATTGATGACTTAACTTCCAACATTTGTTAAAATTAATCAATCATAAAGAACTCTAACGTTAAAATGTTAAAAGTGGCACTGTTGTTATAATTTATTTTATCTGAACTTTACTATCTAAAACTGTTAAACATACTGCAGAAAAAGGGTACGGCTCACTAATGGGTGACATATTAATGGAATGTTGACGATAAGTAATAACACTGTTATTATCTTCTGAAAATCATGTTTTGATAACATAGTGAAATGCTATATATATTTTGGTTGATTTCTCTAGAAATGTTGATAATGTTTCAACTGTTTAAATTACAGAAAGAGTTAATACTATTTTGATAAAAATTTTCATCTGTCGTCTAATGACTTAAAAATTTTTCTTTAGGAATATGGTATTACAAAGAAAGAGAAACTTACAGTTGGATTAGGAATCTGTACTCCTTTACTGAAGAAGATCCGTGCAGACTTGCATCGGAATATTGACCCTTCGGGTGATGAGACAGAGAGTGTGAATCGTCTAAATCCACAGTAAAGTTTTTTTTTGTTTACTTTGTTCATTAATTACATTCTTTATAATTACACATTCCTTTTATTGCTTTAATAGTCTGAAAGCAAATGTTATTTTGTTTTGGTTTGTGTTTCAGATTAATATTAATTTTTCTTATATACCATAGAATGAAAACTTTAGGACCATCCCACTACTTTACACTATTGGTGTTAATTTGTGGCCAAAAGTAGGTGTAAACTAGTTTTTGAGCACATTTGTGTTTGTTATAGGCACATGTCAACACTTATAAATGAACTGCAGTATTATGGTGCTGTTTCATTAGCTGAACAATTAATGAACAGACATCTGAAACCGGAGTTGTGCATGTTTATAAGTACAGTCATGACCTTGTCAATCTGAGTAGAAATCACTCAAAATTTCACACAGTTTAACTTTAAACAGGTATAATAGGAAATGATATTTCTTAGTTAAATCACACAGCCACTTTTGTGCTTCATTTAAATCTTTTATATCAGCATAGTTAAGTCAATTTCAGCAAAACATTGGTTCTACATTTTCCAAATGGCTCACAAAAAACATAGTAAACAAGAGGGAATCCTCAGTAGCAATGGCACTTGAACTTATTTTAGGCAGGATTAGAGTACATTAATCTATGAGACCTTTTTTCGTTTTTATTAGCTATATTTTTGTGCACCAGTGATACCAAGTGTGGGGTGCATGTATACCCGATTCAATCAGGATCTTTACCAGTCTACCCTCAAGTTGAAATCCTTTTAGACAGAGTTAAAGTAAATTAATCTGTGAGACCTTGGGCATGGTCAAATACGTCAAGCGAAAGGGTTTGACCTCCTGACTCCAAAACTATAATTAGATCTCAAATTGGTCAAGAGATGATGGAATTATAAGCTAAAGGTTTGTACTTGAAAAAATAAAACTTGGAGCCATTGTATGAGCTGCTCTGCAGTGGCTAAAATGTTGTCATCATCACATTGTTGAAAGAAAGGCACTGTAAAAGAGATCTTTGGCTACTAGGAACAATACAGAAATACTATGCTGCAACAAAATTAACAAAAGATAGAATTAACTCAGGAAGAGCAAGAAATACAACTGCATGTTATGACAAGTATCTAAAGATTATACCACTGAGAGTGCATTGAAACACAATCTGCCAACTGGCCCAGGATCTAGAAACAACCAGGTCAGCTCATCCATAGTTTCTCATAAAATGATAAAATTTGGTCTTCATGAATGTGTATCAGTGAGAAAACACAACTTCTATGATTAAGTAACAAGACCAATTATAGATGTTCAACAGGAGGACTGAATTTTGTGCACTCATGAGTCAGTGTAGTAAAGAAGATCGTCAAAACTGCTGCAACGAATCTGAATGAACTCTGGAAGTATCCTGGAAGAACATACCTCAGCACTTTGTCAAAAAATGCTGCCATGGTGTGAATGATAGAATCAAAGTTGCTCAGTATGCTAAGGGTACCATATGATCTTATCAAGACATGCTGCCATAACATGGAAGATAGAATCAAATCTGTTTTGCATGCTAAGGGTGGACATGGAAATCTCTAAATTTGAAGCAGTTGATTGTGTGTGAAAGACCACATATGTGTTGAAAATGAATTTAAATGTTGCACAGAAAATAAATTTGTTAAACAATTGCTGAATTTCAAGTTTATATGTATTTAGTCACCTTTCATTAACATGGTCACTAACTTTTGCACAGTAGTGTACTTCATTTTAAACATATTTTATTTCCCTCTGAAATTATAAAGTTTCCAATATGCACTTTGAGTAGGTTCTGTGAGTATAAATACAAATATCAAGAAGTTGATTGGTAATATAACAGATTCCAAAACATTTTGAATCTTTGGAAGTTTGTAAATATAATTGTTTAGTAGTTACAATGATTGACCACTTGGAGTCTACTATTCATGACACTCACTACAAAAAGATATTATTTTTAAGTTTAAGTTTTTTGAAGTACACATTCAAGAAAGAAAAAAATATTTTATTTACCAATGACATTTCAAACAACTGCTTGTCACAGATACATATGAGACTGTTCACAGGTATCAGGAATTTGAAAGTCAGCCAAAATTTCTGTCAGTGTTTGACAAACATTCCTTTTTTTCTTATGAAACGAAAAAGTGTCAGAAGTCATCTATGAACAGGCTTTGTCTATGAGGTCCACATAGTGTTCTTTCTGTGAAAGTAGATACTTTAAAAGGATTGGAATATGCAAACTGTAAATCATCCTCGAAAGAATTAAGAGAACTATCTTGCTTGATGTAAAACCAGTCAGCATTAGAGTCTTAATGTTAGGTCACAAGTTATCTTGAATAATAAGAGCTGCTTCACCCATTTTTGAAATGATTGCCAAATACTGGTCTGAAAACAGGCAGTTGAACAGTTAAACTGATTTTTGTTGTGCTACCTGTGAAAGGTTGCTCTGGGGGTGTTATTTCATAGCTGCATTCTGTGCATTAATTGTGGAACCTAGCTATAAAGTGTCTGAATTTCCAAATGCCCATTCTTATCAAGAGAATTTAAAGGAACAAGTCAAGGGATTTTGGAGGAGGTGAGGTTTGGTCACAATGTTGTGTTCCAGCTTGGTAATACTTGCTGTGATAAGTTGTGTTATTAATGCCTGAGTATAGATTAACAATGTAAACAACTTGGAATTATTAGCCTAGACCCTTACTCTGTAGAATATTCATGAAATCATCTAGAGAAAGGGTTCCCAAACGTTCTCATCATGAAACCCCCCCAGAACATTCTGAATCCTGCTTGAAGCCCCTCACCAAATAAACGTATAGTTACTGAGTGTATTAACAGTATTGTGTGTTTGCTATGCCCCCCTGACACTTTCCTTCACCCAAACCCCACCCACCCCTGTGAGGCTCCCAGTTTGGAATCCTTAATCTAGAGGTCTCATTCAAAAGGTTAAACTAGTCTTCTGGTCATCATAAACTCACTAAACAACAGTGGAGATAAGTTGCACCAGACACCTGTCCAAAACTGATTTAGAGTATACATTGTAGAATAGCTGTAGTTATTTAAGTCTAAATCGATGCTCATTGTGTAGGATGGTGATTACAAGGAACCTCCCCTCCCCCAATTTTACGTGCAGGTACTTTAACAGGATAGTGCAATTACAGATATAATTTTGTTTTTTTATTTCTTAAATTGATTGAAAATGTTTTTACAGTTCTTACACTTAAAGTTGGAAAACAAGAGTTTTAAATGTTTTCTGAACTTATTAATTGAGTTAACTCCAAAAGCTTTTGTATTATATATAAATACAGAAATTTGGTAGAAAAGCTGGATGGAATTGGAATTTATTTTTTAACCTATTTTTGAGTATGGTATTGAAAAAACAAAAGTGACAAGGTTAAATGTTGTATCATCAATAAAGGAAGACTATATTAAATTGCCTGAACTGTCTTCCATTCATTTAAGTAGACATATCCTTTCAGTGTTATGATAAGTTTCCATTTGTTCTATTCAAATATGACTTGTTCAACATTGCGATTGTTTGTCTTCCATTCAGCTATGTGCATTGGAAGAAACTTCTGAATATGGTCGTTGTGTTACTTTTATAGACCTAGATCTATCTAAATTATTTTTATTTATAGTTTCAAGGGAGTTTTCTGTTTAACTTGCAAAGGATCACTGTGTTTTTGGATTAAATCTGGTGACAAGCTGTTTAACCTTCTTCACTACCTCCAGTGTGTGAGCTGGTCATTGAGTAGCCTGTTTTTTCTCTGCTGGATATACAACATTAAAGATATCCATTTCTTTAAAAAGCTAACCCTTATTGCCTTCAATGTTTTTTCATTTGTGAAATAGGAGAATTTCATGACAGAAAGTCCTGTAATTTAGCCCTTTCAGAAGGGCCAATTTTAAGTGCCACAGTTCACCAGAATTGCACCAAGAGAGTTAAGGCTTTTAAACTGTATTCACTGGCTGCAAGAATTACCAATGGCAAGGTTTTAGAAATAGATATTTTTCACAAGCTTATTGATGATCACTAACATTGTACCAATATTTTAGGTATTCTCATGGTGTATCGTCACCAGGGCGGCACGTGAGAACACGTCTCTATTTCACCAGTGAAAGTCACATTCATTCTTTATTGACTGTACTGCGTTATGGTGGACTGTTGGATGTAAGTGAAGCAGCTGCTACATGTTACAAAATATTTTTTTTATTCAAAAAACAAATTAGAGAATTTGATATAAAGATAATTTAATAAAAATAAACTACATTTATAAACCTTTGTAAAAAAAATTTCAATTAATTAAGAAAAAAAGCAGTATAAGCAAAGCATGACTACTTTTTTCTTATTATGAAATAGCTATGGAGGTTTAATGAATAAAAAAGTTAGTTACTGTGATTGCTTGGTTTTATATGTTTTATAAGCAAACTAATTATATAAACAATTCTTTGTGAAAATTAAAATAAATAAATATATATATATAATTGCAGAAAATAATGGAATTAAGAAAGCATAACAGATACAACAGAAACTTATAAGCATAAAAGGTCTTATGACTTCATTTTTTATGTAGTTCTACACTGCCTCAAAATCTTACATTTAAACTATATCTGTGTTTCACAGTTTCTGTTAACATACTATTTATATATCAATGAAAAAGGTGTGAAGACAGAGCCACACCTGCTTATTTTATGATTTGACATAAAACATCATATTTTTGGCATTCCTTTTATGGCTTTACAATCAATCATACAGTTCTAATTATTTTTGAATATATTTTTTAACTGCAAACAAAATCTTGATTGATCTTAGTTGTGATTAAAGCTCAAAATATTTTACTGTTGTTTTTATTTTACCCATATATTTGTTGCACTCTTACAATTGAAAAAAAAACAAAGAATGGCAGATTTTAAAAAGCTTAGTGTTCTTCATTGCTTTATCCTATGTGTTAGTTGGTTGGATTTATTTCTACATAGAAACAAAATAGGATGCTGTTTTGATACAAGACACCCATAGTTTGTAAAGATGAAACAAGTGACAGCAAAGTTACGTTTCTAATGGTGGTTTAAAGAAAAAAATCACTTTGTGGAAACTTAACCATGTTTCCAAAATCCTAGCTGAAATCTTAATTATCATCAAACTCTGCAGTGTAAACAAGGTATTGAAAGGAGCACTCTCAGTGATAAAAGTCCTCCTTACATGTTGCAAAGATACATAGAAAATGTTGACGACTCCTCTCGTGAATTGCAAGTGTGTTGAAATAGCAAGACTTGACAAACATGAGGTGATGGGAACATTTAGTAATAGAACTGGAGCTAGATGATCAGTGGAATTTGCTAATTAATTACTTTAAACTAATTAGCTATTCTGACGTGAGACTAGTATTCTTTTTTCCAACTTTTTAAAAAATTACACCTTTTTGATATGATAGGCATCTTCAGGTACAACAATTTATGATTAAGTTATTTTTTTTAATCCTAAGCTGTTGAACATGACAATATATCATGTATTAGGTCATCAAGAAATTAATGTCACTTTTTTTAGATGAAAAACTCAAACAACTTGTATATCAAAACATATTAAATGAAGTAGTCTCCATTCTTATCCATGATTCTTTTCCATCTTA